TGGAGAGATTCAAATTTCGATGGCCACCATTCTGTGGAAATCTGGAAACTCACATGTTCTTGGGCCCTTGCACTCGTTTCAGACAAACAGCACTAGAAACTGTAGATGAAGCATGATAAGTATGGTTGGTAATAAAGATGATAGGGAACTGCAGCCAGTAGTTCTGCCTTCAAAGACTGCCACATGACTATATATGTTTTTAAGTTAAAGCAAAATGTTTAAAGAATGATGTGTTATTTTCTTGATTCCCTACTTTACCCTTTTTGACAAAAGAGCTCCTACCCTATGCCCCTAGCCTGGTATGTAGTGCTCTGCGTGCTGTTTTGGATCTTTTGTAGTTAGGTGCTTTATTCTATGATGGTTTCTTCTGTTGACTCCCTTGTGGTCTGGGGTTTGCCCCAGGGGTGGAAATAGGGAGGGATGCTGCCTGGGGGCGAGGGAGGAAGGACGGAAGGTTTGGCTTTGAAGCCCTCTAACGCTAACGGGAGAACATTGCCTAATTTTGTGATGCTGCCCCTGAGTCCTCTACCTAAAGGAAGACAAAATGACACCATCTTCTTCTGTTTGCCTTGGGATCAGGTTTTGATTCTTCTGGTGGAATCCAGGAATATGTTGTTAATCTCTGCCGCACTGGCATTAGGGACACTCCCTCGGGACTTTGGCATCTGGTCTTCTCTTTATTTTCCAACACTGTTGCCAGTTTTTGTCTCTTTGTAATTCTTCATGAGTTTTATAATGGAAATTGGAATAAAGGCATATTAGGCCCTGCTGGTTTGCCTAGATACTAACCCAAAAGAACTACCAATTACTCTACAGTAATGAGTAGGAAAAAATTATATTAAGGGCATGATTCCATCATTTTTATAATATTACTTAATATTATTTCTTAAGTAGCCTACTTAAATTTTTTAATAAGATTCCTTAATAAAAATGTACATGAAAAATTCCTCATATATAACTTTATATCAAATTAATATCCTCATTAAATATAGTCAAAACTTTATAATTTCCATGCCTAAACTCTTTCCTTGTGACAATGTTTACATGTTAAAATGGCTTTTCAAGGAACATGGGATTTACACAAACCCAGTGTCACCCACACCCACATAAAAAAGAACATAAATACTGTAAGATATTTATAACGGTTAAAAATGTGAACTCTGTGGTTATAGCTGGTTCAAATCCTGTCTCCATTTATGTTTTTTGTGATCTGGGCAAGTTACTTAATAACTCTAAGCATCAGTTTTCTCATGTGAAAAGTGCACTATTAGTGGTACCTGCCTCATAGGCACTTACAGGAGGATTTAGTAAAAGAATCTGTGTAAAACACTTAGCACAGTGCCTGAGACATAGTAACAGCACTGTATTTTGAAGTGAAGATGATGATGATGAAGAGGCTTACAAAGGGTTAATGGGATGGCCATTACTATGTAGGTATTAGTTGAATTTTTTTAATTAGTAACTTTTTTTCCAAAATTTCACCTCAGAAAATATTGCCCTGGCTATTTCTCTTTGTAAAAATTTGATACTGCCTTACAGGGTGTGTCTTTTTATGACAGATGGCCAGTAGCTAGTGGTAAAAGAAGTATGGAATGTAATAGCGTTTCACTTATTTATGGGAAATGTTTTAGTGCCCCACCCTTGAACTAGTTGGAAAATGAAAGTCAAAAACTGGAAACTCTATTTATAAATGGACAGTGCTGTGATCTCAGTGTCTGAAACTGTAGACTTTTAGAAAATATTTATAGCATATTGGAAACTAGTCACTGATCAATTTCTCCTTGTCCTAGTTTTTAAAAAATTAATCCAGAAAATATGAAATTTGAGGTAAATTAAAATTGAATACTGAAATGTATCAGTCTTTAAGACAAGAGGATGGAGAAAAACTCTAAATAGACATTTGAAGTCAATAGAGATATGTGTTAATGGTGCCTAATAATAAGCTACATGAGTGGAAATAGAATACATTCAAGGAGATACTGAGACCATGTCTACATTTCACTAAGGAGACAATTTAGCATTGTGGTTAGGAGTGGGGAACTCGGGAGTCAGTCTGCCTGAGTTCCAAACCCAATTCTATCACCTGCTTAACCATGTAATCTTGTAACTCACTTAACTGCAGTGTGCCAAGGTTGTGTCTACATCATAGTGTCGAGAATTAAATAGTGCATGTAAAGTATTTAAAATGGCAAATGCTCTATAAATGCTGGTCACTATTATTCTAATTAGCTCAGCCAAAGACGCCCAAGTGACTCCAATTTGATTGTTACGGACATTTGTGTGACGTGCCCATTTCACTGGTTTAGAGGTAGGCGTCCATCATTACGTGGTCATTGTGAACTGCCTTGGCCAATAATGTATGCGAGGCAGGAGGTGAGCACTGTGCAGTAGGATCCCTGAAGAGTCCCATAGGTGCTTACCTTATTAGAGAACTCTCCTTTGTTACATCAATCTGGAGCCCAAAGAGTTGCCATCAAAGATACACCCCTTCCCTTGGTTCACCTAAAAACAAGGAACTTGTGTGAGTATTGAAAAATCACTTACTATAAACATCATCAGTCATTATTTAGAGATTTACATTTCACAAATGGAATCAACAGTCCAGTGGAGATAGTGTTGCTTATACAGCTAAACTGTGCCATCTGCCTAAAATGAAAAATAAGGAAAATTCCTAGATAACAGATTGCAACATATCTTTTTTATATGCAGCTCATCATGAGTAGACTGTGTGACAGCCTTATTTGACACTGATAATTTTCTAAAGGGACTCTCACATGGGAGAGAGTATCACAATAGGCCTTAGAAATTAGTTATAGCTATATCATTGTATTTCATAGGAGAACTCTTGCTAGCAAGAAGAATGGATAAGAATATCGATGTCCATTGTATCTACATATTATTCTTGTATCTGCACCTCAGATTGTAGCCTTGTATTTGTGGTTGTATTTTTCCCCTGTCCGCATAGTCAAAATCTGCATTTTTGCAGTCAAAGTTGTTGTTGATCTTAAGCAACCAGCTTATTCAGCACTCAATATATCCCAGGCACTGTGCTAAGTGCTTTACATATGTTGCCTCATTTAATTCATAGCAACCCTGTAAGTTGGTACTTTTTAAAAAAAGATTTTATTGGTTTTTTATAGAGAGGAAGGTAGAGGGATAGTCAGAAACATCGATGAGAGAGAAACATCGATCAGCTGCCTCCTGCACACTCCCCACTGGGGATGTGCCTGCAACCAAGGCACATGTCCTTGACCGGAATCGAACCGGGGACCCTTCAGTTCGCAGGCCGACACTCTATCCACTGAGCTAAACCGGTCAGGGCTAAGTTGGTACTTTTATCCATATTCTGCTAGTGAGAAAAACAAGGCTCAAGTTTATGTAGCTGGTAATTTGTGGAGTTGAGATGCAAACTCTGAAAGGCTATGCTCTTAAAGACAATGCTATCTTGCATGCGAGAAAGCCAGGGCTTCAGAACTAGGCAGAAGTAAGACCATAAATTATTGAAGCAACTGACATTGCTCAGTTTCTAGTGCTTTGGTTGTATGGAAAAGAAACTTTGGAATAATGTTCAAAAGAATAGTGAAATATAATATTTATAGCATTATGTATAAATACATATAGAAACATAGAGAAGACAGAAGCTAATACATGTTGTAATACAGCAATAATCAATCCCAGAAGCATTTTATGAGTTTGATGAAACTACAACTTATTCTTTAAGATTGTGGTGATCACAGTTGATAGTTGCTAAAAGCTGTTATGAAACATACAGACCACCTTTATTTTAATCAACCCACTTTGGTACACATACCTTTGAGGAAGAAATTGAATCACATACTAAAACTTTTGTTCTCCAAATGATACTATCAGGAAAGCAAAAAACAAACAAACAAACAAAAAACCCCCATAGAATTAGAGAAAATATTAACAAAAAATGCATATAATAAGGAACTTTCATCCAGAAGATGAAAAATATTGGTGATGGGAATTGAAGGGTTTTGTTTGTTTGTTTTTAATACATTTAATTTTGTTTTAACATTTCCTTACTTCGCAAATACAACATTGCCAGGCACAACCCAGATTTTCTTGAAATTTCATGATCCTTAGAATCCCAAACCACTGCTGTGGATAACTAGCTGTGAGTTTGGGGTGTGGATATTGGGCCACCTGAAAACATGGCCTCTTAGTACCTCAGGAGCCTTAACTGGTTATTCAGATATGTACAAATCCCAGGGCATTAACAACACTTGGCAATCTCCTATTGCATTATCAAGTTCTCCACAGTTGTCTCCCAGTGATTGGAATTGTGTCTAACACCTTCCGTAAGGCTAAGTATATACTAGCAAAATGACCTGGGTGCTTCATGTACACCCCACAGACATCTGATGTTTATGCTCCCATTTTTTTAAGAATACTCTTTTGAGAGTCATACAATCCATTATGTGGCCAATAACTTACTGTGTGCCTTGCTCTTCTGCAACGTGAAGGGTTGGACTAAGTGATCTCCAAGGTTTTCCCAGCACTATTGTAGGTTGTGATTGTATTTGCATGCACCCTGTTTTTATGTTAAAGAAGTATATGTATTTCACATGTACTTGTATTAACTATAAGTTCTAACCATTTGGCCAGTCTGGACAGGGGAGACAGTAGTTTTTCTCACATAAGCTGATATTCATGAGGCATGCCGCATCTGTACTACTGCCGCTGCCACTTGGGCAGATGCTCTTTCTTCATTTCACTGTGAGGATTCAGGATGTTTAATACAGCTACGTTGTCTATTGCAAAAGGCCACAAGACTCATTTTTTTTAAATACGCTTGACAGTGAAGTTCTTATACAAATGTCAGTCATTGTTATAATGTAAACAAATGAGGACTACTTGGCGATACATGCCAATTGGCATATTTGCTATTTTCTACAAGTATAAGGATAGAAAGTATTAAAATCATTTATACCCATTTGAGAGAGGAAATTAACATTTTCTAAAAAATTCTTTTCTAGTGAAGGAAGCCCGTCCCCCAGAATTGAGCTGCTACATAACATCGACCCAGGCTTTGTGGACATTTCTCCGTGTGAGTACCTTGTTCACTGCTGCTAAACTAAATCTGTGTGGCTCGCAAAGATGGTTTTCTTACCTAATGTGTCTCTAGCCTTGCTTTCTCTTTTTCCACTTGAATTTTCTGGAAAGGTAAAACAGTTCTCCATGGCAGCTATTGTCTATTCTTGCCGTGGCTTTGGTACCACCAACCTGAATTCTGTTCTCTGCACTGCAGACTTACTAACTGTATGGCCTTCAATTAAGCCTTTTCACTCTCCGTGCCTCAGCTTTCCCATGTGTGAAAGGAGAACCCATGAGTCTCAGAGGCTCCTTGTTGCTGCAAATGTCACGTTGTTGTTAACCTGTTCTTACCTGAGAGCTCCAGCCTTCTTCCAAAAAACTCAAGGTCAAATAAGCCATCATGTCATCTGATCAAGCTGGCATCTCGCAGGCATGACTTACTAAGCAACCGTGGAGGTAACTTAGGTAGCTCTCTCCATTCATTCTTCAGGCCACTTAATGCTCTCAGACGCCAACAGGCTGCAGTAGCCCTGTATAAAACGTGCCAGGGGCCTCAGGGTCTGAGCTGGGAAGCATTACCTATTCCACCCTTTGCCCAGGTTCCATCAGAATGCCTAACCTGGAGGCTGTCTTTAGAAAATGGGGCTCTTACATTTCCTTCATTCCCTTCAGTGCTCACATCCCCTCCTTTCTAAACATGGTGGTTCCCCCTTTGTCAGCCTCTCCTTGCTTCTTAGTCCCCTCCAGTCTATGCTAAAAGCCATCACCAGGTCTCCCTGCTCCGAGAATGACCCTCCCTCCAGGCACTCCTTGCCATTTTCTTTTTAGACACTTGCCATTTCCAAGCATGCAGATCATCATACTTAGGTGTTGAATATACTTTTCCCTTCGCCTGAAACACTTTCTCTGCCTCTCCACCACTGTTCCTCGTCCCTTAAAACCAGCCCAATGTCCCATCGCTGTGACTGCTTTCCATAAGCCCAGCAGGAGCAGCCATCCCTTCCTCTGTGCGCCCCCCGCAGGCATCGCTGTATAGCATTCCCCGGGCTCTCTTGTATGTGCCTTCATTTCCCACTAACCTGAGAGCTCCTGGAAGTTTGGTCCCACTAACCTGAGAGCTCCTGGAGCAGGTCCCTCCACTTTGCTTGGAGTCAGCTTCCCACATATTAAATATGGACTCACTAAGACCCTTTACTGCTGCTCCACCTTCCCCCTCCTTGAAGCCCATTCCAGGCCTTCCCTGCCAGCCTGGACTCTTGCTCTGACTTCTGTGCATCCTCATAAGTTAACAAAGAGCCAGCATTTAGTAGGCGCTCAGGGATGATTACTTGATGACTGAGTGGAGAAGAGCTAGGATGGAATGAAGACCAAAGTGTCCACATTAAACTTGGAAAGGAAAAGGCCCTGAGACAGGCAGGAATGGCTACATTGTGGGGAAATCTCTGTGTCTGTTGGAGTAAACTTAGGTGAATGAGGGAGGCAAGGGCCAGCCTGGTAGCTATTGGCCTGATGTGGCTATTGGACACTTGAAATGTGGCTAATTGTGGGTGAAGATGTGCTGTAGGTACAAAATGCACATCAGATTTTGCAGACTTAGTATGAAAAAGTAAAATATAACATATTTACTACTTGTTGAAATGGCATACTTTGGATATGTTGAGTTAAATGTACTATTAATATGAATGTTACCTGTTTCCTTTTCCTTTTTAATGTGGCTACTAAAAAAACTTTAATTCCTTATGTATTTCTGTTGGTCTAGAAGGGTTATTCTAGAAGGTGCTAGGAAATGACTTGATCAGCTGCACAAGAGAGCCACAGCCGTGACGGCTACTGTGAGGCTGTACATCGGTGGTTGGTAACCCTTCCTCTGTCCCCGCACACCTAAGGGAGCTGACAGGGTCTAGTCTGTCAGTGGTCCACCAGAGCAGTGGTTCTTAACCAAGGGCCAGTCCTATCAGAACTTCTCCCGGGATCCAGAGGAAGTAGGGGGAAGTCAGGAATGGTTTGTAAAACTTCTGAGTAATTTAATGTGCTGAGTATGCTGCCCACGTTATAATGTTTGTAAACTGTTCTGACCCACTAAATCCCATCCATAAATGAAAAGCCTTAACCCCCTTCACTCACTAAAATATATTTTGTCTTGGCACCAGAAATGGGAGCTTACGAACTCTGTTCCTGTGTTACCTGGCCATTGTACTGCTTGCTGTGACTTTCACTGTCTCCCCTAAAAGTGTCCCCAGCTCCTGTGTAAAAGTTAATAAAGACATGGGAATCAGAACAGAGAATTGTCTTAGTTTTGCCACCCATAGATTGTAAGGTCTTGAGCAGGTCCCTCCACTTTGCTTGGAGTCAGCTTCCCACATATTAAATATGGACTCACTAAGACCCTTTACTGCTGCTCCACCTTCCCCCTCCTTGAAGCCCATTCCAGGCCTTCCCTGCCAGCCTGGACTCTTGCTCTGACTTCTGTGCACAGTGAGGGACACTGTCGGGCCTTGACATTGACACAGAGCACATTCACTATTTGTGCACAGAAACAGGGCAGCTCTCTGTGCCTGCAAGCAGCCGAATGCCCCCTCTTATACACGGGCAGCGCCGTGGGCCTTTGCTCCCAGTTTCATATTCATTTTAATCCACTGTACAGCCATTGGAGAAAGGAGAGCCACCTTTGGGGACCTGCTTCTTTATAGGATGGTGTTGTATGCCCATTTTCTTTTCTATGCAATTAATTTGTAGGGAAAAATTAAATCCAGCTATATGAAAATCTGTACTTACTAGAGGCCTGATGCACGAAATTCGTGCAAGAGTAGGCCTTCCTTTCCCCTGCTGCCGGCACCGGCTTCCCTCTGGCCGCTGGCAGGTACCTGGGACCGGGTTTCCCTCGCAGCCCCGGCTTCGTCCAGAAGGACGTCTGGTCTAATTAGCCTATTACACTTTTATTATTATAGATAAGACAGCAAAGTCTGAAAATCATGTTTATAGAATCTGGTTTTTTAATATGTTGTAGAGACTTTTGTGGAATAAAGTTAGAAAGCAGCCTATCTAGGGTATAAATTAAGGATTAACAGTTGAGTCAGTGTTATCACAGCAACATCTCTCTGCTTTCTAACGCCAGCACGTCCCAGATTAGGTGTACTTACTGAGAGCAGAGAGGGTAGGGCTCTACCTACACCTTCCCAAAGCCACTTCATCAGTTTCCTCGTCTGTGAAGACCGAACTAAATGATGTCTACAGTCCCTTCCAGCTTCAACATTCTATGGGGTCTCTATATAAATAGGACCTTAAATGAGCAAAGCTGTCCTCAGTTTCTCTCCTTTTTCATCCTGCCAGAAAGGGTGCACTCGGTAACAAGCAGGAATGCAGCCAAAGGCATGGTTGTAATGGGTGAACACAGTGAAACTGTTAGAAACACTGAAAGCGCTAGAATAATTTGAAATGTCATATGATTTTGTTATTACTAGATCGTGCCCTTCTTTCTGATCCCTATTCTAAAACATCACTCAGCAATCAACTTTTCCATCTGCTCTCTCTTTTTTGGTGGGTCTTGTTGGGAATGGTGGACCAGTGCCTCCTTCTACCATGAATCACAGAACTAGACACTAGATGTGTCACAGGGAAGCCTGTCTTCTAGGTAGTACCTGATCCCCTCCCAGGCTCACCTCTTGTGTTTAGCAGATACACCCCCTCCCTCTTATTCTAAGAGTATCGGGCACCCCCAGAGGCTCTTCTTACAGGTTTTTTCACAGCCCCATACCCTTGGTAGCTCTACTTGGTTCTAAAGAACTCTGGTTCCAAACTCCATGCTCCCCCCTGCCACCCTCTCCCTCCCCACCCCCCCACCCCACCCCACCCTGCTCTGCCCCCACTCTAGCCAGCATGCCTCAGACCAGGAGGAAAAATTAGTTCAAAGGCATTAGATCAACCTGCAGGCCCCAGGCTTGATCTGGGCTGTTCTGAGGTAATGACCCTACTTCACCTGCAACCACAGCCGCCCTGGCAGTCAGGTGTGGCATTCTGTGCATCGTTAGCATTCTCACGTGCCTCTGCTGGTGTAACACACATATGCCTGACGCACAATCACACAGGAAGCACTCAGATTCTGCCGATAGAGCTCCACTAGAGATGAAGCGCACTGACAGATGTTAGCATTTTCCACACCACCAACAGCCAAGTCTTCAAAGTGATCCTGTCCAACTTCGTTACTATTTCATTTAAAGGGCCTCCTCTCTTTAAAGTTTATAATGAGATGTTATTTCTGCTCATGATTACAGGGGGAAGGAACATTCTCCCTGCCCTCTCCTCTCTCATGCGCTATTTTCTGTGGTAAAATTGCCAAATCTATACTTGAGATCCAAGGTTGTCCCAGTTTGCATGCTTGGGAGCTGCTCCTTGTCTCCTCTTCAGAGAAGCATTCAAATCTGTTTCCTGACATTGGGTTGCCATCCCCAAGGTCACTGATCAGTGATGTTGTCTGCCCACGACGTGCATGTAACTGTTGTAGGCACTAGAGATCAGTAAGCCCTTACGTTTTGGTAGAAACTGGTCTGGAAGAGGGCATGACACAGTGTCCCACTTCCCGCTTGACGGCTGTTTGTGGTTACCAACTGCCTGGAGCTACATGCAGCCTCGTTAGCCTGCCTCCCCTCAGCACAGTTGCAATGCCCTCCTTTAGTCACTCTCATCTTCCTTTGCTTCTCTAATTCTTGTTTAGAGCCCCATTCACATTTCTACTTCTCCACAAAGTTCTCCTTGATCCCTCCAAACTTGAGTCCCTTGAGTTTGTCTGGAGCATCCTAGGACATGGAGCTCTCGCTACCTCATATTGCAATTATTTATATTCATGTGTCTCCCCTACCCAGAGCCATAAGCTCCAAGGAGGCCAAGATTTCAACTGTATAACTCTCTCAATGCCTTATATATGAGAGATTTTATATATACTGAACAAATGCATGCTAATAAATCAGTCCTTTAAGTAGCTTATCATTCACTGAATGAGTTAGAATAAATCTGGCA